TCAAAATGTATTATAATGAATTTATTTATACTCTTTCAAACAGCAGCACCCTGGGTTTTTATTGTGTTTTATTTGCTCTGCAACAAAAATTAGGAGGGGGAAAACGTGTTCCATGGCTGACAGGGTCCGCATTGTTCCATTTTCCAACACTTCCCTCCCACCTCTGGACAACTAACAATGCCTTTTTGCACTGTTCTTCATATAGATGCTGTTCAGCTTAACTTTGACATCAGCAACAACCAAAGCCCACTCTCGTGGTTCTTGTATAGAATTGCTCACTTGGGGACTTAAGATACTGCTAATATCAGAGATGGATCTGAATTGTGCACTGTTGTTTTGGTAGGCTGAGAGTTGTTTTGGGTCCTCACAGAAAGAGGATTCTGGGGAAGTTATCTTTGTAATACTGTGAAAAATAGTTAGAGTATTTCTCATTAGCAACAGTGTATTTTATCAGTATATAATTCTACAGGATATTTACTAAAGAAGTATTTACTTGCATCTTTACAGAAGCTGCAGCATCTCTAGGAGGAAAAAAACAAGGAAATTGAAATTCTGCATAATACCATAAGGGACTTGGAGCAACATCTTAATAAAGGCCAGGACCCGCACTTCAAACGGAAGCGGTTTTGAGACTATATCCTGCTAAATCCATTATTTCTGGTTCTCACTGTGCGCAAAGTATCTCAGACTGTGCACTTTAAAAGTAAAAGCAAAGTACAAAGAAGTATTGAGTTTATTTTTATTGAAAAACTCTCATGTCAAATATTCCATAAACATACATTCTGTTCAGTATTAATTTCTTGCTAGTCAGTATTCACCATAAGAAGCTTCAGGTTTTGTAGGAGTGAGTTTCCCTATTACACCATAATTAATGATGGTTTACGCTCTCAAAGTGTTTTTCCTTTCTTTCCTTTCTTATTTATCCAAAAAAATCAAACAATTTTATTTTCACTTCAGCTTGGTTAATAAAAGTTAAAGAATGCTAAGTTACAAACAGAAAGTTACACAACTGAAATTTATGAATCAATACAGATTATCAAATTCAGCAGTGTTATAAACTAAGATAAACATTACATCGAAATTCAATTTGGTCCCTACTCCACTTTTTTGGTATAAATACCGGTCTGTATCGAGCTGTTAACACTGCTTTATGTTAAGCACAATCCTGTTAGTTTAGTGAGATTTTTACAAGCTACAGCAGTGTGTATTATTGGACCCTGATATATAGTAATAGAATATAAACTTATAAATCTGTTACTTAAAAATAATGTAATTACTGCTTACATTTAAGATAGCTGTTTTGGAATGTTATTCAGGAATAAAGTTTTATTGTACACTATTTGTATCCAGAAGTTAGAGAATGAGAGGGGAAGAAAAAAAAAACACCTTGTGAATATATTCAATGTTCTTTCTTTTAATAAAGTATGATTAAAATATCTTTTTTGATTCTCTTCTGTTCTAGTTTGCTAGCATCACACAGAAGCCCCTAGGTCATAGTTTATGCTTCTGTCCTCACAAATGCAAACAGAATGTTAGAAGAAAGACAAATTAGTCAAGAATGCAGACACCTTTCATCTATCTACAACTGAAAAACAAACTATGGGTCAGTTAAATTGCATCAAAATACTTTTTTTTTCATTGATGGTACTTGACAGGTTTGATGTATTTCTAAGAGCACTGCTGTAAAACTCCAGTTGTTTTCAGTATTTGCATTTCTAACTCCACATTCACCTGTCTTTATTTTTTTTATTTTTTTTAACTGTGGGGCAATAAAAGTTGAATCTGTGGACGTTTCCTCTCTTAGAATCATGAATGTAGGCCTTGTTTTATCGTGTTTAGTTTGTTTCTCAGACTCAGCTCCTTGCCTTCTCCTGTCACTGTCAGGTATCACTAGTTTCACTGGCTGCTGATGACTGTCAGGCAGCTGAGAGCAGACGTCACTGTCAGGACTCAGTGATGTCCTCTGCTCGCAGCTGCCCATGTCAGCTGCAAGAATTTGGAAGTGCCCCGCGACACTGTCAAGTGACAGAGTTGCCTAACTCTTCAAACAAAAGGTGTCGGCAATGTCAGCATCAGCTACTAGAAGTCGTATCTTGCTGGTTCTCCTGCTCGGGATGGTGGCTCCCCTCGCGGTGGTGGGGCCAGTGCGGGTGGTGGTGATGCGAGTGTTGGTCAGCTGGGTTCGGCTCAATCTCCGCCAGCTTTTCATCTGCCTTTTTAGTGATGTTTTCGCGTATATCATCAATATCTGGTTCCTAGAAAATATATTTTAAAAAACAGTTCAAATAAAACATTGTACCTAATTAAATTATTGTAAAATGGCGCAGAATCACAGAATGGTTGAGGTTAGAAGGGATCCCTAGAGATCATCTAGTCCAACCCCCCTGCTCCAGCAGGGACACCTAGAGCACGTGGCACAGGGTGGCGTCCAAGCGGTGTTTGAAGATCTCCAGAGGAGGAGACTCCACAACCTCTCTGTCACCCTCACAGTAAAGTTCTTCCTCATATGGAGATGAAAATATTAACCTTGATATTTTTTCAGTACCTGAAATCTAAGCAATGGATTATTTTGAATTATTTTTATAAATAATTTGGAAAGACTGATGCTGTAACATAAAAAGTAAACAACAGCTTATATTTCCTTACAGAAAACAATCATCATTTAGCTTTTCGGCTTCAACAAAATCAAGAAAACACAAGGACAAGGCAAAAAAAAAAAAAGGTTCTATTTTTTAGAGATCTTTAAGTCCACTTCAAAAGTATGTGGGTAGGGGGAAAGCAGAACAAGTTAGTGCCAAGCAGAGGATCTGCAGAACCTTGTGAAGGGTCTTGCAGGAAAAAAGAAAACTAAGAAATATCTGCCTCCAAGATATGTCTGTGAGGTTCAGTCTTTTGAACACCTCAGGTTATTGGGCCTAACTGCCCTTTTTTTTTTTCTACTTGTGCTCTTGAGGCAGTTTGTTGGGGGAGTAGCTATGAAAACAAGGCCATACTGATGAGAGATGGGGGTTTGGAGACTTTTCAGTAAAGCTAGATAACATTTTTCTTTACATAGTAAATATTATTTCAGAAACATGAAGAACACCACATTTGAGAAGGAAATTCTCTTATTGAGCTCTTAATGTCATGGGTTCTTAATTCAAGAGAAGCGCAGCAATTGAGTGGTAAAGGAAAAAAACTTAGGGAGAAAGTGGTTGTGATCAATCAGGCTAGATGATTTCAACTATGAGTACCTGTATAAGTACTACAGACTGAAGGGGAAATAGGCACACAGGCACTCTGCAATTCCTTTTAAACATACTATACAGTGTTCAACATCTGAATTCCTCTGAATCATCCCCTTTCAGACTGTCTCAGAAAGAAGTGTTTCCTTCTGTGGGAGCTACCTCACGGAGAAAAGGCATCGCGCTCAAAAGGAATCTTGTTTTACAGCATCACGGGTAACTGCACAGGGCTCCAAATGTAAATTCCTAGGGAATTAAAATTCAAATAATTACTAATAAAGTGTTTTCTTATGCTAGGATGCCACATTTGACTGCCTGTGGCCTACATTCAGCTGGAAAACTGTATGATGGAAATTGAAACCATGATGCTTCTGGCTGAACTTTCACATCGAGGTATGTACATTTGTGATAACCTTTAAAGTAGTCCTGATCTTCAGTTATATTTAAAACAAAGCTGCTTCATATATATAATGGAACCAATACTTGCAATCTTGTATTACCACTTTTTTATCAAGTATTGTATATTGTTTTTAAATATAAAATAATAAAGTAACTCAGACCAGCTCAGATTTTACTCTTAAGTTTGCTGCAAGTATACTAGTTGTTTAAATACCTATCTTGCCTGCCAAGACTGGAATACTGAATGATCACCAAGTGTATGTAACTCCAGGAATTGAATAGCATCCAAGATTGGACTTAAATTACTGAAAATGATTCACATTTCTATCAAGGGCAGGAATAATCAGTTGATTCTAACTTAGATCTTTATTAAACTTAATTAGGCTTCAGTATGAATTGAGAATCTTCTTCACAATAACATAGTGATAATTAAGATGGACATGTTAGAAATGTAAGACTTAGTTATAAAGTAATTTGTATCAAACCTGAAAAAACAGGATTTTAATTAAGCAATTATTAGTTGTCCCAAAAGATAACATGTCCCAGAATCTTTTGATCAAAAATCTAGGTTTTTTTAAAAGTGTTAAGTTTCACCTAAAAACTATTTTTTCTACATGGTGACAGGAAGGTTACATGACATTTCAACCAGATTTGGTTAAAATGTTTTCATGAAAAATTAGGTAACTTTTCTGGCTTGATTCTATTTTTACCTGCATCCATGATTTGAAGTTTTCAGAGAATAAAAACAGTGTAGGAATCACACCATGTGTTCTCAGTTTTAATATATATCCATCGTAACTATACTTCTGTAAACAAAAGCTGACTTTTGTAGCTTCCTTCTTCCTGTAAAAGTGGAAGTTCTTTACATAGTGCAACTCAGAAGCTGATTATAATGTCTATGCTCTGCAATAACTAGGTTATTTGCAAAATAATGAATTATAGTGAATTACAAAGTGTTATTTTAAGTACATGCAAATATTTTCCCCTTTTTGTACACAGACCTGTCATAAATAAGAAAATCATTGTTTCCATTTAAGGTAGTCCAGACATCAGCTTGCTGTTCGTCCTGCTGATAGACAGTAATATAGTTTGAAACACTTTCTTTCAGTAGGTACACTTTCTTTCAGTAGAAATTTCCTTTGTGACAGAGTTCCCTGGTGGTTGACAACTACATATGAGATATTGACCAGTCCTTCATTCTCTAACTTCACTCGCAGGTCCTCCAGTCTAATAGAGAATGTAAAGAAAGAAGATCATTAATCAGCAGGGAATCATAAGATTATTTTGTTTTGCAAGATAAAATGATATTTTTGAACACATGCATGCTTTCAGAGATCAATGATTTGCCTTATTCAGCAAAAGCTAGTAAGTTCCATCCTGTTTTCATTGAAGTGAATGTGATTTCCTTAACGTTTTAATGGATGCAAGTCTAAAACTAGTAAAACAGATTCTTGCCATTTGCCATCACCATCAACTACGTTTCCACCAAACCAGATCATACAATAACTGGCAGCATAGTGACATGTCATGGTTCTTGTCCTTTTAAGTAAAACATAGTACTAAATCAAGCAGACATGTTTGTTTTCATACTGATTTTTATTTCAGTTTTTCTCTCCCTATATTTCTTCAGCTTATCTGATGTCTTTACTTAAGTGCTCAGTTAGGAGTCATATGACTGGTAGAAGTATGCACAGAGTGAATGCAGCAGGAGAGTAGATAGTCAAGATAATCGAACCTGCAGTTAAAAGGCTGATAATTCTCCCACCTGACATGGCTATTTTCCATAATAACCAGAAAAGGGATGTTATGGCCACTGGAATGAGAGGATGGCTATGGAATTCATGCATGAGCTGGATGGCTTTTATTAATGTGCCCTATACAGTCCTAGAGTATGTACAACACATAATCTTGCTCTTTGCTATGTAGTACAGAAAGCTGCTTTCTCACTTCACAATGCTGTTCACTCATTTAACTTGTATCAGAATCATTCTTTTTTACTGAATGGCTCTGAAAAACTCTTGGTTTTTTTTTTTCAGTTTCAGAGAAACTGAAACTTTTTTAAGGTGTTGAGCTTGAAAGATTATTTCAGGCCTTTCTGAAATACATGGAATCAAATTTAACTACCTTGAAAACCAACTACAAAACCCACTTTTGTTTGAATGGAGCCAGAGATTTAGCACCTTTTTTTTTTTTTTTTTTTTTTTTTTAAATTTTTTCAAAATCCAGTTCTGGAAAAACTTTCAAGGACTATTATATTATGAATTTATGCATCTTATGGGTGGGAGTTACTAAGATCTCTTTTCTGCAAGGCCATGCTTTAACGTACCTTCTAGAGTTTTCTTTTTTCAACAGGGACTAGGAAAGTACATTTAAAATTCACATTTGATCAGCTTTCTCCCATACAGATCTTATATAAAGATTATGTGATTCAATATGCGTGGTTATACGAAACATTAATAAAATGTATGCATCTCTCAGGTGTTTCTATCCATGTCAGAGAATTAGGATGTTTCCTGGCTTCAGCACCCTTGCTATGCTAATCATCCGTTGTTACCTGAAGTATATAGCTCTTGAGGAACTGTTTCTGTTGGGCTTCTGTGTGTTATGTTTTTTATTAATATCGAGTTGGTTATTATTTTTATATAGTAACTACAACCTGGAAAAGATAACCTGTCACGAGTACTAAGCCAAGAGCAGAAGAATCTGCACCACTGGCACAAAATGTTCCTGCTGGGAATTAACCTGGAGCCTGGGCCAGGCCACACATCCAAGCAGGTACATTGGTATTTAAGGGGTCCATTGCGTGTTTCTGCAGTTGGACATGTAGGTTATCCTCAGATGGCTTTAGAAAGGACCAATCACATGTTAACAAAAAGTGGGAAAGGGATTTGCACTTACTTGGAAGCCTGCAGCAGGCACAGGTATCAGCTGGCCTGGAGGAGAACTACCACTGTCACTGAGCCCTGGGAGCTCAGCATGGGGCTCTCCTCCCCAATTCGCCATTCTGGGGGGCTTCTGGCAGTTCTGGATCTCTGCCCCTCCTCCTGGGAGGAGGCAGAGACTCAGGAGGAGCCCCAGCCCTGCCCACATGGCTGGGCTTTATCTGGAAAGAGAAAATAAACAAAATGAGATCAGTGCTTAAAGAAAGCTCAGACTCTGAAATTCCCATAACAAAAACACAGCAGGATACTGGATCCATGCAGTTTAATTATACAGAAGGATATGTTTGAACAATACATTTGCTGCTTGGTCCTATTAGGTTTTGCCATGGAATTTCCCTATAATAAATAATTCTAGATTTTTGTATGTGTAAACAGCCAAAGAAGTACAAAGTAAGGGGATTTTCTTTTAATGGAAATGAAAATAAATCTTGGTGTTCCTTGCTTTTTGCAGTATTTCAGTTTTTAACATTTCAGTGATATTAAAGTGACCTCATTTCTTATGCTTTGAAGGCAGTAGTGCCACTGAGCCAGTTTATACCAGTAACAATCTAGACCAGCCCAGTCCAGATTCTAGTCTGACTCCAGTCCAGTGCAGCACAATTCCAATGACTTTAAAGTGGTTACACCACCAGGATGGTTGGTACATAGAAAATATTATATAACCTGGCAAGAAAAAAAAAAGGAAAAAAAAAAAAAAGACTTAAAGATTTTTAGAATTTGGTAGCATTCAGAAAAATCTCTTAAGAATGCAAACACTAGATACAATTCTGCAAAAACAGGAAATGAAAACTCAGTTTTAGGAGTTCCCAGATGTTACAAAATCTACACTGAAACCTTTCAGAAGAAATTCTGTAATTATCCTTTTACTCCAATTACATAATACTTTTAGCTTAATATGTTCAGAATAGGAGCAATGAAACTTAAAAACTACTCTCCAACCTGCCCTAGATTGGGGGATTCTCCATTCCACCACTCACATCAACTTCTGGCAGAAAACACAGAATATTTTGGAAACACTGAATTCTGATAAATAATGTTTTTCATCAATCTTGTCATATTCCAATAAAATAACATATTTTAATTATTGATCTTTTGAAGCAAGAGCCACCTGCTGGAAATCCAACATCTGTAAAATCCTGCGTGCCCTAACGTTTCCTTCCGGCAGTTCTACCGAAGGCATTTGAGGTATAGTGCTTTGAGGGTGAACTTATAGCCCTGTTAGTGTCTGTAGGGGCATTTTTTGTGCTTTCTGTGCAGCTGGAAATCTGCCTGCCCTTTCCGCATTGCAGAGGCTTAGAGCCCCCGAGCCGCACTGAGCGCCTTGCCTGCTCTGCAGTCCCCTGCAGCACCGCCGTGCAAGGCTCCCAGCAGCTGCCGAGCGCTGTGAGACAAGATGAGAGCTATGTTCTCCTCACACTGCCCTTAACGTTGCAACTTTTCCCTTGCTTTCCAATGGAAATTTCCACAGCCATGGAATTTACAGCCAAAGAAACGAGCGCTGCCTGCCAAATCCCAAGCCCTGAAGCTCTTTCGCAGCACACACAACACACTTACCCTTTCCTGCCCCCTCGGCTCGGTGGCTCCGCGGGGCTGTGCGAGGGAAGTGGCGTGGGCAGAGGGCTGCGCTGTTTATACGGCCCGTGTTTATCTGCCTGCACAGAGGCAGTTCAAAAGTTCAAGGAGCTCGCTCGAAACGACCTTGCAAGCCAAGCAAACCCGCTAGCGAAAGCGGCCCAAATGTTTCCTCACTAACTAATTCCACGTGGCCACCGTTTATCCCGCTGCACACCAAGGTATTTTTAACATAGTGACTTTGAGTGTTGGGCTCTGTGGGCTGCCAGACACCCCAGTAAGCTGGAGGCAGTGGTACAATCAGAGGAGGGGGACGGGCCAGACAGTCTTTATTTTTTGAGCACAGTGATAGCTTCTGTGCGCAGGGGAAGTTACTTGTCTATTCATAAACATGCTGAGCTAGCAGTTTCTGTCTCTTGTTCTTCATCTGAGACTCGCTGGAGAGGAGCCTCACGTGCCCTGTGTGTGTGCAAGGACAGAGCAAATCCCTCCCGTGCAGCTGCTCTTGGTTATGTCACTGCCTTGGAAACTTTCTGGAGAGCCTAACAGTCTATCAGCTTGTGCTGAAGGCTAAAGTCCAGATTTCCAGCCATTTAAATCAGTGTTGCTACATGAAAGCCGTGAAGCTCTACCAACCAGCAACAACCACTTAACTCTTTATTAGTCTACGAACTTTCTTACCCACATCATCATAGAAGTATCTGAGAACATTCATCTCTGTCTCCTCAGTGGGACAGTAGTTTATGCATGGAGTGTTTTATTTTGATAGTAGTTTGCTTGAGTTGGATTTTCTTTAACATGAATATTTATGCATGTTTATGTAGAAAGAAATGTTTAAAAACCTAGTCTACAGTGATGAGAGATCTCTGCTACTTAGCTCTGCAGCCCGAGTTTGAGAAATGGACCAGCCAACTTTGAGATTTGTCCTATGCAAGTCCTGTGCTGAAGCTGATGAAAAGAAGGATGATGAGCTGAAGCACAGTAAGCACAAAAACAGCTAATTTGCTGTGAAAAGCACACCGAGAATAGAACTGTACACTGGTCACTACTGAAAAGTTACTGTTTGCTTCCATGTCATATGAAGAGACACCTCCACAATCCCCTTTTAAAGAGATGATAAACAGCTGTTCTATCTGTCAGCAGCTATCAGTGTGCTAATAACTGTCGTTGTGCCTTTATAACATTAAAAAGGAGACTTTGGCATCTGTAGTGATAAGCCACAGACATCTTGCTCTATGACATTTACCCTACTCAGATCATTATTTTGCCTTGAGATTCACTCAAGAAGAAAGTTCCTTGATTTCTAAGCATGAAGTCAGGAATATTGTAAGGTACTCTCGGAGTAGCTACATTTAATTTAGTTGTTTTAGATGTTTAGGAACCCCAAAATATTTTTAAGCATCAGTCTTTTTCTGTGGGAAAATCTGCACTTCCTCATTTTTAATGAACAGTAGAATAAAGAGATTAATAATTGTTAACTTACAGTTTTTCATATTTCATTCTGCTTGAACTAATAGACTCATATAGCCCTTTCTCCTTAGCTCCTAAGAAGTAATTATCTTAAATCTTAATTTTGCTTCACAGTGCAACTATTTTATTAGCTGCTGAGTATGTTCCAACCTCACTGCAGGAGGAAGGTGTCAACTCTCATTTGGGCAAGTCTTCTGTTTCAAACAGTAATTTTTATAATTATAATAATTTTTCTACTCACTCTCTTTCATAGTTCGGAGGAGTAATGGTGTTGGTGCAGATAACAGCACCCTTCCCTTCTAATTGAACATAAACTAAGCCCTTTTTTAACATTTCAATCAAAGTTTTCAAAGCATCACAGTGCAGAAATACCACTGCCCAGGAAATCTGGAAATCAACTGATGTTTGGGATTTCTCCAGTCTTACTGGATCATGCTTGGTCAACCCAATTGATAGCACAGATGCGAACATTTCTGAAAAACCTGAAGAGGGCAGGGGATTCTGAGGCCATTCTGCCCTGGAAACGTCTGCTGTAGCCATCCGGAATGTGCAGAAGCCGAGGACAGCAGCAGGACGAGGCTCCCGCCGTGTTTAGGCGTGAGACCTTAGAACTTTGATGGGAGGGTGAGGAGAGGAGAGGAGAGGGGAAGGGAAGGGAAGGGAAGGGAAGGGAAGGAAAAAAGAAAAGAGAAAAGAAAAATAGAAAAAAGGAAAAAAAGTAAAAGAAAAAAGGTCAAAAGGATAGTGGTGCAGTATTTGGTCTCGTGCCGCTATCATGTGAGATCCAGAGCAGCATGTGACAACACGATGCTGCTTCTCAGAAGTCAGAGAAAGCTGACATCTCTGATATGTCAGCTCCAAGATTGTTTCAGTGAGCTAGGGAATGGCTGGTACATGCAGATGCCTTTTAAATACAAAATGAGACTCTCATCTTTTAGATGAGTGTTGGTTTTGTTTTTCTGCTTGGAAAATTCTCTTCTCTGCTTTAACCTACTTGTAGCACACTGTAATTAGCAGGGGAAATCTTTTCATCAGCTATGTCCTGAGTAATAATCAGTGCACAGATTACAGATGCAAACTGACCCTAGTTGCTGCAGAGCTACATGTACTCTGAGCACCGTATTGGCTCTGTTTTACTTCCAGCATTTACCCTGCAATATTTGTATCCACCTGCAAGTTGTACTTGTCACCTCCATGGGGCCTGAGGCCAGAGGGTCATCTCACTATTGGAAGGAAGGACAAATTATTTGACTTTACACAGCAGGTGGTTAAAAGAGGGTTGTTCAGATCATGGTTACAGGAAATGTTTTGTACTTTTGTTTACTTCAGTGTAGTTGGCAAAACTTGCTAGTCCTGTGGTCTACTAAAGAAAAAACCTGCAAATTCCTTCAGTTTGGTCTGACTCTGCTTAGGCTCCTGGTGTTGTGTCAACAAGCCAGGAAGAAGCAAATGTAATTACCACAGAGTGTCTGCTTAGATCTTGTTTATGGATCTCCATTGCCCACAGGGATCAGTGATGTCTCTTTCTACAGGAATGATGCAATTGTACCTGGAATCCAGTGGCAGCTTTAGGCTTTCCAGTGCTTTAGGCTTTTCCACTGATCCGATGCACAGCTAAAGCAATTCAAGATCTGGATAAATAAATACAAAGAGAAAAAATAAAAGGGAAAAAAAAAGGAAAAACATAACTGCAATCCTGATTCTGCTGTATTCAGGCAGTTCTCTTCACATTAACAGATCAGCATTAAATTGAGCCTAACCATGATCATAACTTTGAAACACTAATCAGCAACACATACAGTGCCCATCAAAGTCACTAGGCCCAATAACTCTCTGTAGGAAATGTGGAGGAAAGTGATTAATCAGCTAAATCCACAGCAGTTTGTTCCAGGTGACCTTAAAGGTCTCTTGCCAGAATTACTTGTAAAAGCAAGTTCTTGTTAATGATTTATAACAGCTCATCCAAGCACAGTTCACCACACCAATCTCTACCCAAAGAATGGAAACAGTGACAGAAGCACCAAGGACTCTGGCAGTTTACGGTGAACCTTGCACACAATTCAAGGGTGCTTTTTGCTTATCTGTTGTAAAATACATGAAAACTAGACTGGATCCAGATAATGAATAAGAGG